TTACAACAAGACAACGACCCCAAACAAATCCAGTAAAAGTGCAACATCTTGGTTCCACACCAACAAGATTGACGTTATGGAGTGGCCAGCCCAATCCCCGGATCTTAATCCAATAGAAAACTTGTGGGGTGACATACAAAAATGCAGTTTCTGAGGCAAAACCAAGAATTAGAGAAGAACTGTGGAATGTAGTCCAATCATCCTGGGCTGGACTGTTCACAGGTGCCAGAAGTTGGTTAACTCCATGCAACACAGACGTACAGCAGTTCCCAGAAACAGTGCTTATACAACTAAATATTAATTAAGTGATTCAAAAGGAAAGTAAAATCTTCAAACATTTTTCAGTTTATATAGTGAATGTTTGAATTTGTAAAGAAGAATACAAACACTGCTATTTTTTTGAAGTCTAATATTCACTTTTCTTCAATTTTTTTAAAGGAACAACACAAATTTGATATATTTTTCTTCATGTTTTGATTTGGAATAGAATGTGTAGTGTTCCAAATGCATTTGTGTGTATGGAAATAAAAGCTATTAAAAGGATTTTGAGCTTTATTCACTTTTTTAAACACACTGCTATTATTTTGAACACAACTGTACATCTCTAGAGTGACTATATCCCACCAAACTTTCAATTGCTTTTCCATAGCATGTTTTAAATTTTTAAAGCAATACTCATCAGTCTTTTGACCAATTTTTGAGTTGTCAAACACTTGCTCAGCTACTATGTTCCTGTTTTGCATATATGAAAAAATATCCATAGCTGCAAGATACCTGTAGCCCCAATGAGACTAAGTAAGAGTACTAATATATTGTCTGCACTTATGGACCAGCGATTACAAAAGTGTAGCTGCTTCCCACTCCTCTTATATCCTCCAATGGATATAGATGCTAGAACTCCAAACTTTAGTGTGGTGATACTTTAAATAAAAGTGCTAAATAATGTGCTAAGGCTCTTAAAGTGGAGTTCCACTCACCTTTCAAAAAATAAAAGTCAGCAGCTACAAAAACTGTTGCTGCTGACTTTTAAAAAACAGCCACTTACCTGTCCCTCAGTCCCGTGGTGTGTCCCCCGCAGCCAGTTTCACCGGCCGTCCTGGATTCCAGGAGGCCGGCATCTTCAGTGTGGGCACCTGGCTGTGATAGCTTGTGGCTTCACAGCTGGGTACCCACTGCGCATGCGCGAGTAGCGCTGCGCTTCATGAATTTTCCTGTAGTCTTCTGGGATCGGTCAAGTGTCTCAAAAGACTACAAGAAGGGAGTGAGGACACCTTCCGCTTCCGATCGCCTAGGCGATCGGACCACAAGTAGGAGCGGGTACCTGTCAAATTCGGGTACCCGCTCCCCCCCACCCCCGAAAGGTGCCAATCCTTAATGGGGAGCGGGGAAGCAGAACTTCCCCTTTTGGGTGGAGCTCCGCTTTAAGTGCTATAAAAACACCCCCCTCCATTATAAGTGCATCATCATTAAACTTAAATACTGTCAGGGTCCTGTCCACAGCAGAAGTTCTGGCGTTTCTGCCAATTCTCTACATGGCCGCAGAAGGACACATCAGCCTCAGTATGGTGCCAGACAGCCTTTATAAGGAGGCTCATCACTTCCTCTGGTTGCTGGATGATCTCTAGCTCCCTGTGGTTTGTTCCTGTGGCTTGTGACTTCCTGATTCTGACCCGGCTTGTACTTGGACCTGTCTGCTCTACTGACCCCGATCTGACCTCAGCTTGGCTAAAGGATACTCTCTCTCTCTCTCATGCTCCTTTGTGTATGACCTCGGCTATCCCACCTGACCACAACTGTTCTGTTTTCCACCCAGTACCTGACCTTGGCTCGAACTGACCAACCTGCAAACATCCAAATCCTGGAAGGCTTGCATACCACGCACAGGCGCCTCCAGTCTGCAGACCTATCCCCGCTGTGCTTCTGAGTGGACCATCAACCAACACTCCTACAGGCGACCTGTGCAACTTGGGCCTGACTCCCGCTGTCCCACTCTCATGGTAGTCCGGAACTTAGCCGCAAGGGAAGCCCTCTCTCCATTGGCCTCCATCACCAGGTACATGATAAATACGCTATATTGCAAAAAGTATTGGGACACCTCTCCAAATCATTGGATTCAGGTGTTCCAATCATCTCCATGGCCACAGGTGTATAAAATCAAGCACCTAGGCATGCAGGCTGCTTCTACAAACATTTGTGACAGAATGGGTCGCTCTCAGAAGCTCAGTGAATTTAAGCGTTGTACCGTGATAGGTTGCCACCTGTGCAATAAATCCATCCGTGAAATTTCCTTGCTACTAAATGTCTACTGTTAGTGGTATTATAACAAAAGTGGAAGCAACTGAGAACAGCAACTCAGCCACAAAGTGGTAGGCCACGTAAAATGACAGAGCGGGGTCAGCACATGCTGAAATGCACAGAAGTTGCCAGCTGTCTGCAGAGTCAATAGCTAAAAACCTCCAAACTTTGTGTGGCCTTCAGATTAGCACAATAACAGTGCATAGAGATCTTCATGGAATGGGTTTCCATGGCCGAGCAGCTGCTTCCAAGCCTTACATCACCAAGTGCAATGCAAAGCGTCGGATGCAGTGGTGTAAAGCACGCCACCACTGGACTCTATAGAGAAGTGGAGACGTGTTTTCTGGAGTCAGGAATCAAGCTTCTCTGTCTGGCAATCTGATGGACGTGTTTTGGTTTCGCGGTTGCCAGGAGAACGGTACTTGCCTGACTACATTGTGCCAAGTTTAAAGTTTGTTGGAGGGGGGATTATGGTGTGGGGTTGCTTTTCAGGGGTTGGGCTTAGCCCCTTAGTTCTAGTGAAGGGAACTCTTAAGGCATCAGCCTATTAAAGACATTTTGGACAATTTCATGCTCCCAACTTTGTGGGAATAGTTTGGGGATGGCCCCTTCCTGTTCCAACATGACTGCACACCAGTGCACAAAGCAGAGTCCTGACCTCAACCCGATAGAATACCTTTGGGATGAATTAGAGCGGAGACTGCGAGCCAAGCCGTTTTGTCCAACATCAGTACCTGATCCCTCAAATGCGCTTCTGGGAGAATGGTCAAACATTAGACACACTCCTAAACCTTGTGGACAGCCTTCCAAGAAGAGATGAAACTGTTAGAGCTGCAAATTGTGGGCCAACTCAAAACTGAACCCTACATACGAAGACTGGGATACCATTAAAGTTCATGTGTGTAAAGGCAGGCGTCTCAATACTTTTGGCAATATAGTGTACATTACATGTGCATCCTCCTCAAAATAAATACAATGTGCAACTAACTATAGAACACCTCCCTCCACTACCATACCATATGTAAAATCTATATACCATACCATATGTAAAACCCGGCCGGCGTTTGTGGTGCGGTTGCGGGGCGGTAACACCACTCAAACTGCATTATAGGCATTAGTTGGGCGTTATTAACGCTCGGCAAACGCCTAGCAACTGCCGCTAAACCGCGGATGCGGCATTTGCGGAGCGTTTGCCGAACGTTAAAAAACGCTCCGCAAACGCCGGACCAACGCTTGCCAAACAGCCAAGTGTGAACGAGCCCTAAAAAAAAATTCTTGTTATGCAACTGATGTATGATGTACTATAAAACACCTCCCTCCACGGAAACACTACATGTGTTCCTGTGTAAATTTTCAATGGTGTTTCAGTGGAGGGAGGCATTTTATAGTACGGTGTACATCAGTTGCACTATTAGAGCACTTTTTTAGGTTTTGTAGGAGCGTCCCAGATCCACGAGTAAAGCGGGTTTGAAAGCATTTTAATGTAAGTGCAATTCTGCTATTTGTGTGAAGTTTTAATAAACGGTATTACACTATGGGAGTTCTGCCTTTTGGTTCTCTTAGATTAAAACTGGTGGAGTGGAGGAGGAAGGAGATAGAGACCCAAGAGATATACTGAGAGGAAGTGTGGAGGAGCTGAAGGTGGAAGTTATATCAAGCGCATATGACTCGCCTGCAAAAAGGGATTCTTGGATTCTCGGTGAGTGCCCATATGGGGAACCACGAGTGTCACACGGAAGAATGCAGCACTGAATTATTCTAAAGAGCACTTTGAGTGGACTGCACAATAAGCACTTTGTTCAAGAAGTCAAACTGTGGATGTCACAAATGTTTATAATTGCATAGACTTTGCACAGGAACACATGTAGTGTTTCAGTGGAAGGAAGTGTTTTATAGTACGTTGTACATAAGTTGCACTATTAGAGCACTTTTTTTTCGGTTCTGTATACTGAAACTGAGTATGTCACAAACATTTATCATTGCATAAATTTACACGGGAATACATGTAGTGGTTCTGTGGAGGGAGGTGTTTTATAGTACATCACACACCAGTTGCATAAGAATTTTTTCAGGATCAACTACTGTGATGTCACAAACAATTATGTAGATTTTACACAGGGATATATGGTATGTCAGTGGAGGGAAGTGTTCTCTAGTTTGTTGCACATTAATTGTATTTAGAGAATGCACATGTAATGTATTTAAGTTCTTTAATGATGCACTTATAAGGGAGGGTGGTGTTTTATAGCACTTCAGAGCCTTAGCACAATATTTAGCACTTTTATTCAAAGTATCAAGTAGCTCTACACTAAAGTTTAGAATTATCAGAACACATTGTTCTGTGGAGGACTCTGCATATATTTTGTGTGTGAAAGTAGATGGGAACCTATGCCAAGTGCCAGCAATCCCTAAATGCTGATCAACTCACACGCTAGAGTGGGTGGACTTTGTTTTTTCTCTTTCTTAACATTTTCAAATACCTTTAGGGAGCGTATTTTACTGTAATGCACACATGCAGCACAAGACAATGCACACATGTAAACACTGTGCATTGTGTTGAAAAAAGTGCAGATCCGTTATAACTGTGTTTGAATAATAAAGCAAACTCTTGGGAGATGTAGATCATTTTTCATTTAATTTACCGAGTGTCTATGATTTCACAAAAAGAATGAAAAGGATTTAAAACTGTACAATGAAAGAAAGCCTCAGACACTGTATCCAACCAGGCCACCTTTTCCAATGCATTCTCCGATGTAGAACCAAAATAGAACCTCAGTTGCAACCAGACCATTCCTGACAGCTTCCTGTGGGGTCAGAAAAAAAAAAAAAAAAAAAAAAAAAAAAAAAGTTACTGAGACATATCAAAAACACTAGTTACCATTAGTTTTCTGTACTGAACCGAACTTTGGAAATTCTTGTTGTTCCTAGCAGTTTTGCAATACAACTCAAAGTGGCACTATATTAGGCAAATACTGATTCATAATGTAAAGTTGGTGCTTTGGCCTGCCCGATCTAGCAACTTGCTTATGGTCAGTGAAGCCACCCATTATATTTAGTAATCAAAAGTGAGGTGTGGGAGGAGTCATACCAAATGCCTGACTTCTTATTTGGAGTCTGTTAATAAATGCCAATGCAGGCACTCAAAAGTGCATTACTAACAGTAGTAAAGAACTTGGCTTTTTAACTAGAAGATATCATCGTGCTATAGTTAATCATAGCCTGATTCACCTGCATTTTCAAATACCTTTCACCTGCATCAAAGTAGACTGGTTAACAGATGCACCCTTGATCCCTGCAGCCACTGGGATAGTAACTCCCCTGCTGTAGTTCTGTTTGAATGAGCAGTGATGTCAATATGTCCCTTCTCGATGTAGTGAGTGGACCCAGAAGTCTCAGACTCCTGGTCTGAAATGCCCACTGTAAATGCATGGTTCGATTGACAAGCTCAGCCCCAGGTCTGCCAACACACTTGGCCATCACTTCCTGCATTTCCCTTTGCATAATGAGAAAGGTAGTACTGTGTCCTGGCATGGAAATTATGTGTGGGGAAATAGAAAGATCACCTCCCAATGCACAGAAGCCGCACATTTTTAAGTGGGACCTAAAGACATTTCAAATCAGGAATTACAGGAAAAAAAAATTTATTCTGGTTTACAATTTTACAAATATGTTCTAATACAGCCTGGGAAGAGGCTCTGCATATGCCAAATTAGCAGGATCTTGGAAATGGGCTTTAAATACACTTCTCAAAAAAATTAAAGGAACACTTTTTAATCAGAGTATAGCATCAAGTCAATTAACCATTTGCCGCCCGCCCTATGGCCGAATGGCGGGTGGCAAATGTCATCAGCGTTCCGGGTGGACGCCATATGGCATCCTCCCGCACATGCGCAGATTGCGCTCCTGCAGAGCAACGCAATCTGTCACCGGCCGTGTACCTCAGACACGGTCGATGACAGATCTGAGTATCGGCCCCGTTGCCGTTACCATGTGACCTGCTGTGACCAATCACAGCAGGTCACATGACAGTTGTATACAATGGATGGCTTCATTCATGCCATCCATTGTATACTAGTGTCTAGCTGTGAATGGTCACAGCTAATCACATGCACATGTCATGTGTTTAGCTGTGGCCAAATCACAGCTAAGCACAAAAAAAAAAAAAATCCTGAATGAATCGATGTCATTCAGGTACATGCTTGCTTAAAGCAAAGTAATTATTTGCTATAAGCAAATTGTGTAAAAAAAAAAAAAAAAAATACTGATCACTTCCCCAAAGTAGTACAATGTTACTATGGTAACATGTTACTACTTTGGTCATAGTGAAATATGAAAAAAAATCTTAAATTTTTTTTAATAAAAACAAAATAAAAAAAAAAAAAAAAAAAAAAAAATATATATATATATTTTCCAAACTGTCACCAGTCAGTGTCCCTGATCACCGCCATGCCAGTTATATGATGATGCTGTACTGCACTGGTGACAATATGTAAAAAAAAAAAAAAAAATAGTGAAACTAATAATTTTTTTTAATTTTTTTTAATTTTCCGAAAAATGACAAAAAAAAAATACAACTTCAAAAAACTCGCCATGCCTCTTATGAAGTACGTCGGACTGTCTACTTTGCAAAAAGGGGTCATTTGGGGGATATCTGTACTGTTCTGACATTCTTGGACCTCAAGAAATTAGATTGGCTGTCAGTACTTCAGGATTGATCAATATTCAGATCTATACCAGTTTTTGAACTCTATAACTTTCCTACAAAATAAAAAATACATCCTAATTTGGGTTATTTTCACCAAAGACATGTAGCAGAATACATCTCGGCCTAAATTTATGAAGAACAATTATTTATTTGCAAACTTTTAGAACAGAAACAAAGAAAAACTTTTTTTTTCAAAATTTTTGGTCTTTTTTTTTTTAATTTAGCAAAAAATAAAAACCCCAGTGGTGATTAAATACCACCAAAAGAAAGCTCTAGTTGTGTGAAGAAAATGATAAAATTTTAGTTTGGGTACAATGTTGTATGACCGCGCAATTGTCATTTAAAATGTGAGAGCGCTGAAACCTGAAAACTGGCCTGGGCAGGAAGGTGTAAAATTGCCCGGTATTGAATTGGTTAAACTCCAGGGATATTGATCTGGTCAGTTAAGTAGCAAAGGGGGTTGTTAATCAGTTTCAGCTGCTTTGGTGTTAGTGAAATTAACAGATGCACTAGATGGGCAATAATGAGCCGACCCCCAAAACAGGAATTGTTTTACATGTGGAGGCCACTGACTTTTTCTTTTCCTTACTCATCTTTTCGGTTTTTTACTAGTTTTGCATTTGGCTAGGGTCAGTGTCACTACTGGTAGCAGGAGGCGATACATGGACCCTACAGAGGTTGCACAGGCAGTCCAACTCCTATAGGATGGCACATCAACAAGTGCCATTGCCAGAAGGTTTGTTGTGTCTCCCAGCACAGTCTCAAGAGCATGGAGAAGATTCCAGGAGACAGGCTCTAGGACAGCTGGACAGGGCCAAGGAAGAACAGGATGAGCACTGCCAGAGCCCTACAAAATGACCTCCAGCAGGCCACTGGTGTGAATGTTTCTACTGTTTGGTCAGAAAGACTTCATGAGGGTGGCCTGACGTCCTCTAGTGGCCCTGTGCTCACTGCCCGGCACCACAGAATTCGATTGACATTTGCCATTAAACACCAGAATTGGCAGGTCTGCCACTGGCAACCTGTGTTCTTCACAGATGAGAGCAGGTTCACCCTGAGCACATGTGACAGACATGAAAGCATCTGCAGAAGCCGTGGAGAACGTTATGTTGCCTGACCGGTTTGGTGGTGGGTCAGTGATGGTCTGGGGAGGCATATCCATGGAGGGAGGCAGAGACCTCTACACCTCTACAGGCTAGACAATGGCACCCTGACTGCCATTCGGTATCAGCATGAAATCCTTGGACTCATTGTCAGCACCTACGCTGATGCAGTGAGTCCTGGGTTCCTCCTGGTGCACGACAATGCCCAGCCTCATGTAATGAGAGTATGCACGCAGTTCCGGGAGGATGAAGGAACTAATACCATTGAATGGCCCCCCACAGTCGCCTGACCTAAATCCAATAGAACACCTCTGGGATATCATAATTCGGTCCATCAGACACTGCAAGGTTGCACCTAAAGACTGTCTAGGAGCTCAGTAATGTCCTGGTCCAGATCTGGGAGGAAATACCCCAGGACAACATCCGTTATCTCATTAGGAGCATGCCCTGACATTGTCAGGCATGCATACAAGCAAGTGGAAGCCATACAAACTACTGAGTACTGTTTTGAGTTGCTGCAATTAAATTTCAGCAAAATGGACTAGCCTGCTGCATAATTTTTTTCACTTTGATTTTCAGGGTGCCTTTGAATTCAGTCCTCTGTAGGTTGATAATTTTCATCAAACGATTGGGCATCCTTACGTTCCTAACACATTACCCAGTCCATATCAGTATAGATATCCAGCATGACATTTTCCCCCATTGAGATCTGATGCGTTTTCAAAGTGTTCCTTAAATTTTTTTGAGCAGTGTATTTTGATTCCCAGAACTCCCAGACCTCTCCTTAGACATCAGAAAGTATGTGCATTCCTACAGCCAGTTTACTGACTTTTTAATCTAAAAAAAAAACAAACAAAACAAAAAAAACAACACAAAAAAAAAACACAAACACCCTCTAAAATGTGTGTACTATCCATATACAGTTTTCACTGCTCATCACATAACTTTGAGACACCCAAGTTATATATCTGAATCTATTCTCTTACCCTGACAGTAAGCTCATTGAAACGACGCCTCTGGAATGACTGTAATAATCCTTTTATGCTCTCAATGGCTTTTGGAATCTCTGCAGGACTCGGAGGAATCAGTTCGACACGAGCATAGTACCAGAAAGTTGCAAGTCGTGGCTTTGAATAACTGACTGCAGCTAAAAAAATAAAAAACACAAAAAAACAAAAACAGTATTTAAAATGTTACTGAACCCAGGACCCGGCATTCACTATATCTGATCTCCCACAGCACACAGAACATGGAAGTGCAATTATTTTAGTAAATATAAACTGCTAAATACCTTTTCTCATCAATAGTATATAGCAGTCTTGTGACTTCTATCGATGTCCAGCAGAGCACTTTCTGCTCTAGGAGGAAGCAGAACTCCTGACCTCTGTCTGGACAGTGCTGATTGGCCCTGTGCTGATCACATGCACTCTCCCAAAAAAAAAAAAAAAAAAAAAAAAAAAAAAAAAAAAAACCTCTCTAGCAATATACACCAAACTGCATCAGTAGAGTGACTCCACACCATATGTCCTATCAGGAGATAAGAAGTCAGGATCAAACAGCCTTTTTACACAAGGCAGAGGATTAACCCCTTAGGTTCCAAAATTAGTATAACAAGCATGCTTTACTGCATATACAAACGGATTTTACTGTTGTGGGTTTAGTAACATTGTAATAAAAAAAAAAAAGGTCTGAAAAAGCATAAACACATGTAATCCTATTTACATACCCTCTTCCTCCACCATACAGAAAACAAAAAAAGGAGTGGGTCAACCGTTTACATTGTTTCCACTTTTGGGAGATTTCAGTTAGATTCCAGTTTATCTAAAGTGCATCAGAAAGGAAGTGAAATTGTAACAAACTATTGGATTTAATGTATATTTGTATTTTTAACCGAAAACTCACAAATTTGACATATTACAGCTTACCAGTCCTTGGATGTCATGGCTGCATTTTTTTTTTTTTTAATATGAATTCCAGGTATGGATATGTTATACACAGTCCAGCTGGGACCAATGTAACTATGTACATACAATACCTGGCTGATGCCCCTGAAAGATGGAAATCACTGAAGTACACAATACTAATCCAGTGATCTGCACTCACTTCTGGTGACAAGCTGCATTCTAAACACAGGAGGTCAGCCACTCAGCACATTCTGAATGAAGGCAAAGCGTTCTCTGATTGGATGAAGTAGAGTGTGACATCACTGCCCTACCAGGAATTTTATGCAAGAATATTATACTATGCACTGCATATGATACTATAAACATTATGGACTTACCTGTCAAACAATGCCCTCCAGCACTGCAGTCAGTGTTTTTTTTTTTTTTTTTTTTTTTTTTTTTTTTTTTTAAATGTAAGAATTCCTCATTTCTGGATTTCTCTCATAGAATGACATACCCCCACCGCCTCCCTGAATACTCCTGTAATGCATTCTGAGGGCTTTGGGGCAATCTAACGGTAATGTACATCAGAGGGTCAGCTGCTATAAAACACATAAAAAGAGAAGATGGTGGGACCAAGTGCTCAGCAGTGGAGAGAACTACCCTAGAAGAACGCTGGGCATGTGAGTATGTTTATGAGTATAACCCAGCAAGCAAGGTAAAAGTGGACTGAAAAATAAAGAATTGTAAAAGGGGGTGAAGGTTCCCTTTAACCACTTCCCGACCGGCCGTTGTATATAAACGGCCGGTGGCACTGCAGGGTCCAGTGGCCGTCTATAAACGGCCTCCCCGCACCCTGCTTGTGCGCGCTCCCTGGGAGCACGCAGCACCGCGATCCGGTGCCCGCTGTGTCCTCTGGACACAGTGAAACACCGATCGTCGGACGGGACCTCTGTACGAGGTCCCGATCATGCACACATGCAAAGTAGTAAGCAAGATGTCACTTGTGACATCATTGCTTACTATGTGTGAAATCTGTGAATGATCACAGAGGTCACATGGTACAAGGCTATTCACAAAAGCCTTGTACCATGTGACAAGCTGTGACCAATCACAGCTCACTCTGTATTTCTCAATGAGTGCAGGAATGCACACAGAGAGAAAGAGAAATGATTGCTTTTACATCCTATATGGGTGTAAAAGCAATCAGTGTAAAAGAAAAAAAAAAAAATCTTTATCACCCCTCACAAGTAGTACAGTGTCACCATGGTGACACTGTACTGCTAGGGTGACAGTATGTAAAAAAAAAAAAAAAAATTAAAAAATAATAATATAAAAAAAATAAAATAAAAATGTAAAAAAAAAAAAAAAGTTTAAAAATTATAATTTTTGCTTATAAACTAATTTGGATTTTTTTTTTTTTTTACTAAAAAGATAACGGAATAAATTTTGGCTAAGATTTATGATGAAATATTATTTATTTGCAAAATTTTATAAAAAAAACACTTTTTTCAAAAATTTTTTGGACATTTCATTTACATAGCAAAAAAAAATACAAATCCCAGTGGTGAATAAATACCACAAAAATAAAGCTTTATCTATCTAAAAAAAATGGTAAAAAATTCATTTGGGTACAGTGTTGCATGACCGCGCAATTGTCATTCAAAGTGTGATAGCGCTAAAAGCTGAAAATTGCCCTGGTCAGGAAGGGGGTAAAAGTGTCCGGTCTGGAAGTGGTTAAAGTATAACTAAAGGCAAAACTTTTTGTTTTAGTTTTTGATACAGTGGAGAGGGATTACAACATCTGTTAGTTTTTATTGCTGTCTGTACCCTATTTATCCCGTTTACCGTTATCAATGAAAGGGAAAGAAAATCCCAAATTTTGAGTCATTCCCATAACAGTAAAATCTTGAAGAAACTACTCTCTCATTTTAGAGGGATTTCCACTTACTTCCCGTTTGGCTAGGAGACAGGTAGAGAAGGGAAATCTACTCAATGGGACACACATAGCAAACACCAAATATTTCACACTGCAACTCTGTAATGACTATGAAATGTGTTGGCCTCGGTCCCTTTGTTTCTTAGGTAATTTTTACAATAAAGCATTGTTGCCCAAATGCCAGGGGCATGAGAGGTGACTGATGTGTCATTTCCCTAGGCCAAAGGAACAGTCACAAGATATTCTGCTGAGAGCAAGATAAAAACTTGTTTACGGAAATTGAATGTGTTTATGACATCTAGTAATGTCACATTAGAAGATAAAAACCTGTTTAACCACCTCCTGCCCGCCATATAGTCCAGTGACGGGCGCAAGGTGGTTCTCTCGTTCTCGTCATATGACGTCCTCCCATTCTCACCGCGCATGCGCGACTCAGGGAGCGTGCAGCACGGCTGATCACATGTAAACAGGGAAATGCCGGTTATCGGCATTTCTCTCCTCTCGAGCTGTCACGCTGACAGCTCGAGAGGAGAGCCGGTAATCGGCATTCCGCGGAGGGGACATGTACACTGATCATCAGGGCCCTGATGATCAGTGTGGCCACCTGTCAGTGTCCATCAGTGCCAGCTGTCAGTGTTGAACAGTGCCACGTGCCAGTGCCCATCAGTGCCACATCAATGCCAGATATCCGTGCCTACCAGTGCACATCAATGCCAGATATCAGTGCCCTTCAGTGTCGCCCGTCAGTGCAGCCTATCAGTGTCGCCCGTCAGTGCAGCCTATCAGTGTCGCCCGTCAGTGCAGCCTATCAGTGTCGCCCGTCAGTGCAGCCTATCAGTGTCGCCCGTCAGTGCAGCCTCATTAGCGCACATCAGTGAAGGAGAAAAATCACTTATTTACAAAATTTTATAACAAAAACTAAGAAATTTTTTTTTCAAAATTTTCAGCGTTTTTTGGTTTAAGAAAAAATAAAAATCCCAGAGGTGATTAAATACCACCAAAAGAAAGCTCTGTCACAAAAAAAATGTGACAGCGCTGAGAGCTGGAAATTGGCCTGGGCAGGAAGGGGGTATAAGTGCCTGGTAGGCAAGCGGTTAAAGACGTCTACTTGCTTGAGAAGTTAGATATCCTTAAGTTTGGGGTAGATGAGAAGTTTGGGGTAGATAAGAAGCAAAAAAGTGTGACTTTTCAAATAATGAATATGGTGGTTGAATGTGACTGTCGGACAGCTTCCAGAAAAATGGTTTAAAAGCCGGAGGTCCAGGCAGAACCAGGAGGAAGCCGCCCTAGTGGCCAGAGGACGCTCTGACGCTGGGATTTTTGCCAAGGCTATATGGGCTCATCAACTGGTTGCACCTACGGCTTCCCTGTGCCCCCTGGGCAGTATGGTTTTGATGGGATTTGTTCCTTCCAGCTTCTAACATAGCTTTGGCAATGTATTAATTCTATGCTGTGACGCTGTCAAATGATGTGTCTATTTCATGCTGTAATGATCACATTATTATTGGTGTGTGTTATTACGCAGATTGTGATGACTAAGATATATCCTCCTGTTTGTCGTGTGATAATAAAAGTGGAGGTTTTGACAGTGCAAGAATATTGCAGTTGAATTCTGTTATTTCTTGGAGTGCCGGGTGAATGCTATGATGTGCCAGGGCAGGTTTTAATTTGGTAGATGGTCTTTCACATGCATAGAACATGTAATTGTTCAAATGCTGATTAAAAGGTACCTGCATGACTACATGTTGATTGCGTTTATATGACTTGCTTTTAGTTATTGCACCCAGCATTTGTATTACAAATGCAGAGCAGCAGGAGCAATTCAACACTCCAGCTGCTCTATGCTACCAGCTGAGCGGAGGAGCAGTGTGATGTGCAATTCAGCACATCACATGGCTCTCCCCTTTTTACTTGTTTTCAACAAACTTTACGTGAAGTGTATAAAACATACACTTCATTCACTGCAATGTCACTAACATGGCAGTGCAATTCGGTCTAGTGCACTGCAAACAAATGCAGCATGTCTGCATTTTAGTGCAGTGCTATGCTGCATTGCAATGTGAATTGGACATATAAGAAACAACTTGTGTGTCTCTGTAGTGACAAACATTTTATCATGCAGTAAAACGTGTGTCACAGCATATGGTGTGAATTGGCCTTCAGTGCAACAAAGACAGTAGTGTACTGGTTGTGATACTTTTTTTTTTTTTTACTTTTAATCTGCACTAACATTCAAATGTCTAGGACAAGATTTGAGGGTGTACCTCCTTCTAAAGGGTCAAGCAGTACTAACAAACATTCTGCTAAATCTTTGTGTAAGACAAC